TAAATTTTGACATTGACCGGTTGGGAAAGATACACAACCCTTTCGCGAACCCCACTATTTTAAAGTGCTTAAAGTGCTTTAAATACATAAATGACAAAGTCGAAATCATAGAATGGACTCTGCACGCGAGATTGTGGTTATGTTTTGTCTCAGTTATTTTTACCATAGTCGCATAACTTTTACCTCGGGCCATCGCCTTAGAAACCCATAAAACCAGTTGTCACTGAGAGGTGTATCAATCTTAGTTTTTCTGCCACATGTCACTGCAAAATCGGCTGCCAGGTATTACACATTGAGCTTTGTATAGCCATATCCTATCCTGGACATGTACTTTATGTGAGTGACTAACTGTTGCTCCTCTTTGTCAGACAAAAGCGTCTCTTCACCGGGCTTGGCATGGACAGGAACATGACCTCTTGTTCTGTCTCGAGGAGTTGTATACAACTCCGGAACTGTACACAAACGAGATGCACTATATACTGACATTCCATCGCGAGTGGCATCAAATGCATGCTGCAAATTGGCAGCATCGTACTGGCATCTAACTTTAACTGTCTTAGGCTTCTGAAATGTTAGTTGCCTCCTTACTTTAACAGTCTTGCTATCCTCAAAAGAGAAAAGGTAAGTAGAATTTAGTCTGTGCAATAATTAATAGGTATTACATGCAGTATATGTCAAACACAGCAGCTTGGAGTGAGGAACACAAACACATAAATCAGTCACGGGAACTTGCTTAGCCTCCTGTGACGTCCTGTGGTGGGTCATGGTGACATAGCTTTTGTTCGCTACACCTCATAAAATCCTTTGACGCTATTCAGCGTGTACTCATTCAGCCGATAGTCAATGCATTACTATTCACACCCCTCCATGCCTAACACGGAGGTTGTCGGGGGCACGGGTGGCCCAGTCGCTTAAGGCGCCGCGATTCGCTGTGCAGAGTTGCGTCCCTTGGGCACGCCAGAAACCTATGATTGTGGGTTCGAATCCAGGTTCGCCTCGATTATGTTTCTAGGTTTGTCAGAACCATACCCGTGCTCGTGGGTTTCACCGAAGTGGTAAACGACTAAGACCTGCATCACTTCGGGCTTTCCTCCCATATTAAGCTGACACGCCGCGATATAACGGGAATACTGTTAAAAGCGGCGTTAAACCCAACTCACTCATAACTGACAGATGTTGTGAACCTGCGACATGGAAACAGGACGTTGGAGATGAAACACTAGGCTGAAACACTTTCAAATGGAATAACATGGTTTCCTCACAGAGCTATGTAACATATATCGATTGAGTTATAGATCTTTATTTCTACCATACACTATATCCACTTATAATCCATCTGTCAGAAAATCAGAAAAATGGTCGCAGTATAAGTTCATTATTCATTTTGTACTGTTACTTTTACAAGTTACGTTCAAGTAAAATTGTTTAATGCTTCACCCTGTGAATAAAAACGTAATTGAGTGCTTCTTTCAGAGACAGAAAATGCATACCACCAAAGGAGACTGAATCACACCTTGTCTCTATACCGACTGGTTGTGGTCATGTAGCAATAATTAAGTTTTGTTGACACTGCAATGAATGTATTTCAATTATATCACGGAACGTCTGCTGAATGTGGAAGGCTGTCCAACAGTGATGCATAACTTTGAATCTAAGCACTTTCCTGAAAACCACGAATACGGATATGGTACTGCCAACTGAATTACAATAGACAAGCCAAACACATGGAATCGAACCATACACATTCATACACATACGCATGCATATATACAAATATATATTTAGACGGTATGTAATGACCGAAGTCGAGAAGCTTTGTAAACGTAAACTGCTAGATTTCGTATGATTTTAAAGTTAGTGGATGACATAAGAGCATTAAATTTATTTTTAGAAGGGGTTGTAAAATATTTAGGAGGAATGTATTCTGCTCTTAAATCACTATAAGCATTGCATATAAGCACAAAATGATATTCGTCCTCAATTAAATTCTGGTTACAAATCAAACACAGTCTCTGTTATCTAATTTCCTTAATATATCGACCGGTCTCAATTCGCAGCCGATTGGAGGAGCATCTCAACTAAGCAAGTGCAGCACTGAATTTTGAAACATTTACTACCTTGATATAGCTTTCTGAGCCAAATGAAATTTTGTAAAGAGAGTAACTTTGGGATTTAGTGCTAGATGAAACAGCTGCATGCCAATCTTGCTCAGACGAGGCTTTTAAATGGTTTACAAATTCCAAGATAAAGCTTCTACTATTATTACTAAATTGCATCTCCCATATGTAGCCAAAACCAAACGAACAGAGAATGTGTTTTATTTTAGAGACCCAGTTGATCTTACCATTATTAACATCAAGTAATAATAATCTATAACATTTCTTAACTAATCTATTTTCAGGCAAATGTAAAATTATGTACTAATAAGTAACTACATGCTTATAAGCACATATGTACATAGGATACCTTCCGCATTCCCCCTAGACTAACATATAGTCTCTGAAATGAACATATCATACAGAAAAAACAGTTGTTCAGAGACTAAACAAATCTGCAGTGCTATAATTTCTTGGAATTTTACGACACGTGTAAAGGTTCCTGTCACCCATCACTGGCATGCCATTGAAAGTGTGTGTGACAGGAAATTTTATTGCCCCTACCACATCTCCCCAAACACACACCCCTCCCACTGGAAGCTGGGGGGGGGTCAGTTTAGATGGCAGTAAGTATCAAATGTCCAGAAATCTATTTTGAGAGCGAGCTTGGGTACCAGCTTAGGGGCAGCATTTAGTGTGATTCCCATGGCTAAACAACTTGACCTCTCGAAAACTCCAACGAAAGTTTCAAAGTTACTTAATATTTCTCCAAAATCTAAAGGTTCTGTTTGCACTATATGTGGCAGTTTCATTGATGTGCCATCAAACAGGAGAAAACTTTTTATTGGAAGTACTAAGACAGAGCCATGTCTTCTGATTGAAAAAGTTTTAAAAGTGTCAGTACATCGGGAATGTTCTACACATACTGTGTGCAGAAAATGTCTAGCTGAGGTAACTCGAGTGGACAATACTTTAAGCCGACTTGTGACATCATTTGAAAAGACTGTAATTTCTTTGTACCAATCCCATTGAACTGAAGTTACAAAAAGACTAAGATCTGAAGATGTTTCTGAATCAAGGGATTTCCGGAGAAAGTCATTATTCCAGGAAATAAGATCTGAAACCTCCGAAGATACAAGCTCTGCGTCTGCTTTTACATGCAGCAGGGATACAAATGCTGTCAGAGTAAGTAGATTATCAATTTATTATCAAACTTGTCGATCACAAACATTAACTAGGTGTAGTCATATGTTCATTTCGTTACAGTAATATTGTTATGAATATGTACACAACAACAAAGTTCACAAACATCCCTCCTATATCATATTTACAGGTCATGAATTTTCATATACCGATGTCATATTATTGGTCTTATTCACGGGTATAATTGTCATTGTCCAGACAATTCTCCATACGCCCCACTTTTTTGTTTCGTTTCCGTAAGAATATACAAGAAAAAGTTTGCTTGGGGGCTCTAACATTTAACATTATTTATAAGAGGATAATTCAAAAGAATAGATTTTGGGATCTTAACAATCAATGGGTGTGATTATGTATACATCATCTCATTAGGGTTTGTGATGTTTTTAAATGGTATAATCGAATTCGAGAAAAGCGGGCGAATTTTATGTATTTTTATAGTGAGGCAGTCGGGACCAGGGAATTGGTTCGAGATAATGCTACATTCAACATAACAAAGTTCAACTACTGAGAGATAATTTTATTAAGAACAATAAAACCACTGAATACAGGAATGAATTCTACAAAACAATATATATAATAAACACAACTATTTAAATGCAACTATATAATACTGCAGACATGTAGTTGGGCTATTACATGTTGTTTGATTATAAAACCAAAACCAACAAAAAGTATGTACATGTTTCATAGATCCCCTATATCTTGAACATTACCTTTCAGGTAACGATTACTACTTCTGATGGTTGCAACAGGACTGTACTTCATCCTCTGTCTAGTTTGGCTCTTGCCACTACAGCTCCAGACTTCAAGAATCTATCAACTTTGATACTGGGTACAGAAGTATTGAAGCCTTATATCATAAGAGGTGTTTGTGGTGTAATTCAGGGAGAGATAGCTAAAATATGTTCCAAAAAAGAAGCTTCAATTCTAAGGACTACGACTGCATCTTGTCTGCAGAACCTATCATGGGAAACTATTGCAAATGAATGGAAAACAAAAGCACCAACATATTGGACACTTCTACAAGTATTTGCATCAAATCCTTCTTTGCACAGAAATAAGACGAAGAATGAAAATTCTCTTCTTCCTGCAATAGTTTCAGCTGGTTCCAAACTTTTATCTGTTTACAACCGAGAGCTGAATGGCCTACAACACTTAAACAGCATCATCCTTCTGAAAGGTGGAGCTAAAAAGTCTGCATTTAACAGGCTGTGTGTAACAAATGACAGCACAAGTTATTCCACAGCAATAACTGATATAGAACATCTATCCAGAGAATGGGATGTGGCCATTAATGAGTGGAAAACTCAGTGTGAAGCTGATGCTCTTACCGAAAGTGTTTACCTGAAAAATGTTTCAGAAGCACAAGAATTTGTGGCAGCGAATGGGGCTTCTCCAAATGCACTATTTCACCTTGACCAGGAGGAAAAAACACTTGATGCACACAGAAAAAGGATGCACCCAGGCTATTATTTTGTTGGGGACAATGTTGACTTCTACACAAGAGTACGATTTATGTCATCAAAACACCAGAACAAAAGTCAGCACATGTTCCAAATATGTGCTTACAAGAACAGAGTTGATGGGAACACTTTGGATGATTCAAGCCCCCAACAGGATGAAGAAGAAATTCAATTTTCCACTTTACTGCCTAGCCAAGAAGAACAGTCAATCCTGATCAACGAATTGTTGCAAAGAAGTGGATTGAGTTCATTCCCAGTTTTCGCGTTTTTGAACCAGTTTTGCCACCATGCATTCCTCATAAATACATGAAGGAAATGCGCCAGAAAACTGAGAGAATCAATCTCGGCGTCCTGGAGAAGAATGAGCAATATAATGATCAAATGACCGATATCTGTGAGTTCATCCACAAATTCGTTCCTGGCCATAGCGAGGAAGAAAACTGTGCACAAGAACCTCAGAAGGTTCTGAGTGGAGGGGATTATCTGACATATGAGAGGCACAAACAGGCTAAGAATTGTAAATCTAATTGCAGAACACCATCAAAACAACTGAAAGGACTAGTCCCCAAAATAGAAGAGTTTCATAATCAGGCAGAATTTCTCAAATTAATTTGGAGCCTTCTCTATGACACCTCCTCATCCAATTCAATTGGAACACTGTACGCAGCAAGAAACAAAATGAATTCAAGGAATGTGCCATCCGATCCCCATGACAACTTCTATGCCTCTTCTGAGTTCATGGATAAAGTCACAACTGCCTACATCATTGCTGGTGGACTTCATCACTTCAAAATGGAAAATTTACATTCTAAACCAAAGCCAGATTATGCAGGTCCAGTTGGGGACCATGACGCAATGAAGGAATACATCATGGAACATGCCCACCAGTTTGTTGAGAATCATGCCGTCCCTCATGTGCAAAATCTTCCTGATTATGGCATTCAGTCAAATGACATCAAATGCAGATACTGCGACAAAGAATATCGAAGGCCCATGTCGCTTAGAAAACATGAAGCTCGTATACATGGTCATCCTGATCCACAGTTTAATCAACAGTCAGGTATAAGCCCTCCCGTCAAAACATCATACAAATCCAGTGTGTATGACTACACAAAACTGTGCCTGACCTTAGGATTGCTGAGGCTCAACCACAATGATGCCATCAGATTTGGGGATGGCGAGAGATTGCTACGATTAGCAAAATTCTTTTGCTTATATTACAAAGGTGGAAAGTGCCCCAAATATGCATTTGCCCTGCTCGAGACTACTGCTCAAGCACAATGTCTTCTGTCGGAGAGACAGGCGGAGAGATTTGTGTGGAACAGGACAGTCAACCACCAGGGAAAAATTGACACAAACCATCCCAATGATCTTGACCTTGAACATTGCAACAAAGTATTTAAAGAGGATGTGCATACATATAGGGGGAAATACACAGAGAAAACTATTCTGAGAGTTAGCAGGAGTGCACTTGCAACTGATGGCATATGCAAGAAGTTTGATAATGTGTCTAGTGTGAGGCAATGCTCTGGGAAGCACAAGAAAACTGATATGGCAGATGACATTCAACTACTGGCTGAACAACTACACAGTATTGGAAACGTTTTTGATATTGATGACAGCAGAGTTCATGATAGCTTTCCAAACCTAAAAGACCCGTTAGCATCCCTTAACATGGAAGACATCCAAACTTGGATATCAGGCAGTTTGAAAAAGTTCAGCAGTAAACACTATGTATGAATTCAGTCACTCTCTGAACTGTACGTCAAGACAATAGGTTTTCTCCTGGTATTCTCATCAACCTCGCTGTCACTGGATACGTCATCATCAGATGCAGTGTCACTTGAATCACTTGATGAATACAGAGGGGAGCGTATCTTGTCCATGACCAATGATGAGATTTGGTTACAAGTTTGGCCACAATCACATGTTTCCACGCAGTTACACTGGCATTTGCATGTCAGAGCACATACATCACACCAGTCATGGGGTGGACTCACTTTTGATGGGGAACTTTCAAAATGCTGTAGAAGTTCCACACGGCGACATGAAGTTCCTTTGCAATACTGTCTCATGCAAGGCTTGACTGCATTTCTCCCGGACAAACACCTCTTATATTTCATCAATATGGCATGTGCTTGCGTATTGGGATCTCTTCCACCTCTTCCAGTTTCTTGTAGATAATCTTCAACATCATAAGCTGGTCCATAGTGAATGACATGGTCTACACCTTGAACATCGAGGCCCATGCTGAAGGATGTAGACACTAAAACAACACGCTTTGTACCCTGCGGGTCCATGAATGAGGAGCAGATACTTTCTTTAACTTCATCATCTGTTTTAGAATGAAACATGTCAAACAGTCTATTCCGGTCATCATTTGGTCCCTCAGGCTTAAAGTCGACATAAGCCTTCTGACGAAGAGAATACATCAGATATTGATATAGATCGCCTATCTGCCGTGTGCTTCTGAAGAAAATGATCATTCTTGGAGTGTTCTGACCCTGTTTCAGAAGTAGATCTGCAAGCCATGCAAAGTCTTCAGTTAGGCTGTGTTTTGTCTCATACATCCAGTATTTGATATTACATTTATTTGGACTTACAATAACTTCTTCACACTTCTGCATTCACAGTTTTTCTTTGATTATTTCCCGAGTTTTTGTACATGCAGTGGCAGTAAGCGCAATGACTGGAACAGTTGTTAATGATCTTAGCTCTCCAAGCTGCCCATAAGCTGGTCGAAATGGAGCCGTGTTCTTGTCACTGGACATTCCACTGAAAAGACATGTGACAAACCTATAACCGTGTATACTCATTGAAAACATTTTGATGTTATTAGTGTTTCACAATTACTATGACCTATGAACTAGCTCGGAATTATAATTTCAGAGTTGTTGTGTAGTTAGTTGAAATGTTAATTAATTCTTGAAAGTGTCCTTGTGTCATGTGGACTGTTACTCCATTGCAGGTATGAGAGTTTTTGCGTGCTCATGTGGTGTTACTAAGTGTCTGTTAAAGTGCTAAGCTAAGGATGATGATGGGAAGACATTTTATATTGTCCAGAGCATTACAAGTAGATAAATGTATGGTACACATATGTTCCGAGACAATACACTTCCTGGTTGACAATCTTCACATCTTATAATGCTTAGAATTACACACTTGTATTAATAATAAGTTTACCTGGTATAGATTTAAAGGTTAAGCATAGGCTATTATTTTGTTCGAAACTGGTTAATTTTTGTGTAAACAAAAGAGCAGGCATTTCAGTTATGAAAACAACATCTGTTCACATGTAACTACAGCTACTATGTAATGTCTAGCAGGAGTTTCGTTTGTACTACTAGTGTTAAGACAATGGATTTATCAAATACACATGTAATAGTCTCATTCAGATTCCTCCCACCCAAACCCGACTTCTTGCTAATTTTCAAATTTATCCCATGGCTGACAATTTGTTATATTAATACTAATAAACTCGCGTAAATTTGGAAATAGCTATATGTCAGCTCCCCAAAACACAAATTTAATTAAATATTTGCAGTAAACTAGCAATGTTACTACCTTTTATTAGAAGTAGGTTATCATACTGGAAAAGGTAATATTATATAGGTTTGCTTTGAAAAAGGGTAAAAAACATTTTGTCTTGAGCAGTGAAATATTATGAGTTGTTTTGAATAATTTGTTGTTTTATTTAGCCAAGTATCCAAAGAAAATACAAATTCCAGATGGATGCCTTGGGGGCCCATTCATACTTACTGGGGTGTGGGTGTGTGGGTGTGTGGGTGTGTGGGGCGGGGGGAGGTGGTGGTTTTGTTTACGACCCGTTCCGATCACTGGATTAATTAAACATTTCAATTAGCTAATATGATGACATCATGTTGATGCAGTATCTCCGCTAAGCCCCCTCCTAAGCCTTTTGTCCTGCATTTGTATACAGGAAAAGCAAACATTGTAATAAACAGTAAGGTGTCACTACATATCCCTGTCAAGCCTAAGTGTCCTTATTTATACCAGCTGCAAACAAACACTTCACTTTCTTTTACCACCCACTCCCACCCAGCCAAACCCCCAGCCCCATCAGCTTTATTAGATTAGCACTGTAAAGGTTATATTTTTGTGTGTTGCACTTCTTTATTTATTCATTACGCTTTTTTCCCCACTAGTGTAAGTGCAACCCCCTGTGCGAAATACGCTTGAGTCGGAAAGCGCACGTTAAATCTCCAATGTGATGATGATGATGAAACACTTCCACTGAGCAAATATAGTTTACTTTGCCATTTTGTATTAGCAAACATTTGTGCAGTTCATTGGTATAGTACATGAAATGAAATAATTTTGTAATAGAGATATATATATATATATATATATATATATATATATATATATATATATATATATATATATACATAGATACACAGATAAATAGATAGATACATACATATTGGTATGTATACATGTTGAGAGAGAGGCAATCTTGTATACTTACAATTTGGAAATACAATGTGCTTCATGTATGAAAACTGCCTTCAGATGTTTTTCTTTATCCAATTCAGTAACTATGTTCCGATGATGTCCAAGAATAGATTCTGGACTGGTGAATATTATGTCTGCTTCTCCATCCCTTATGTCATCGACCGTCAATTTCTCAATGGTTGATACCAGACTGTCATCATTTGTCGGTGTTGCCTCCTGTGCGACATCATTCAGATACACAGCTTTGAGTCCTATTGACACACATTTCTCCGTTTGCTTCTTCATAAGAGCAATCAAGGGTGACACAACAATGACAGTAGCATGGCTTGTGTTTTCTACTGCCTTGTATAAATAGGGAGAAAGTTCAAAAGTCAATGATTTTCCACTCCCGGTTGGAGAGCAAAACAACACATCTTTGCCATCTAAGTACCTTTCAATGACTGTCTTTTGATTTGGACGTATTCTCTGTATATTTGCTTTCATCAGTGATGAAGCAATAAGCTCATCTATGTTCCTATTCATTCTTACAAGCAGAATAGAAAAAAAGCAATTCTTACACAGCAGTGAAAAACCTTTAGAAACCTTTAGAAATCCTCGTCTTTCCGAACCAGGGTGACAATGAAAGAAATAAAGAAACTAGATTTTATATATGTCACTAAGTCTCCAATATAATCCCACATGTTGTCTGGCCAGAGTGAGTTGGCAGGGCCAGAGCGGGAGGTCTTGTCTCAGTGTGGGGAGTGGAGGGGGGTGAGGCTCGCCACATGCTAATACTAAACACTAATGACAGCTAGAGATTTACTGATAATTACAAGCTCTGTGCTCGCTTGTGAATTCAGCAGATTTGTACAGACCCTGGTACTGCAGTAATCTAGACTTGCCAAACATTATAGACTTGCATGGGCTGTAGTTGATATAAATGTATCAGGGTCTGTAAGACAGACTAGCATTCCCCCCTAACCACATGATTTGATGAAGATTGTTTAACCCCAAGAAAGCGTTTACATACTAGTACCTGGATTTGCTCTAATTCTTTGTAAGTATCTACACCCAAAATCTCGGCACCGTATAAAAGAATAGGAACTATTTTAGAATCAAACATTTTGAAAAACAAGTCATAAGGAAGAGGTTGAAACTTTTTAGAGATATAATGACACCAAATAGGACCTTTTTAGCTTGAAAAGCAGCACTATTAACATGCAAAGACCAGGAGAGAATTTTTGAAATAATGGTACCGAGATATTTATAAGAACTTACACACTGAAGTTTTTTACCCTTGTAATACCACTTTTCATATTTTGATAAAATACCCCCATTTTTGAATACCACTACCTTAGTTTTATCTAAGCTGACTGTTAGATGATAGTTACAACAAAAACTTTCCAGAGCTTTAATGCGTTTTTGAAGGCCACACACAGTATCAGCAATAAATGACACATTATCAGCAAACAACAATAGAAAAATCTGCACAGTGTCAGGGTGTAGCTGTACACCTGGAGTGCATGTTGATTCTATATACAAAGCTAAGTCGTTTATAAAAATAGAAAATAAAAATGGACTCATTACGCAGCCTAGAGGGCAATCAAAACATTCTGTAAAACAATTTCTGATCTTAACACAGCTTTTAACACAGGAATAGATGGATTCTAATGCATTTAACATTTTTGGGGACACACCTCTGGATTTAAGAACTAGCCATAGTTTAGATCTATTTACAAAATGGGGGCACGGGTGGTCCAGTCGTCTAAGGCGCCGCGATTCGCTGTGCAGAGTTTCGTCCCTTGGGCACGCCAGAAACCTATGATTGTGGGTTCGAATCCCGGTTCGCCCGATTATGTTTCTAGGTTTGTCAGAACCATACCCGTGCTCGTGGGTTTCACCGAACTGCTAAACGTCCGAGACCTACATCAATTCGAGCTTTCCTCCAACATTAAGCTGACGCGCCGCGATATGACTTGAATACTGTTAAGCCTAAACCTAACTCACTCACTCACTCACTATTTACAAAATCGAAAGCCTTTTTAAAGTCAACAAAAAGAACATATAATTTACTACGCTTCTTAGACAGATAATGCCGGATTACAGACTGCAGAATAAATATATTATCAATAGTACTATAACCTTTCCTAAAACCAGCTTGAGAGTCACAAATTTTATCATACGAACCGACCAGAACGTAAGTCTTGAATTAAGTACAGATACATAAAGTTTACAAAAAGTGCTGAGCAAGGAGACACCACGGTAGTTATTGGGGTTTGAGTAATCGCCCTTCTTATGCAGAGGTATGATAACACCAGTACCCCACGACTCGGGAAACGAACCATTTTCAAATAATATGTTAAACAACGTTGTTAGGTATGGTACTATTAAATCACTTAATGCTTTGAAAAATAAAGAAATAAGAGAATCATTTCCTGGCGACCTACAGTTTTTAATTGATTGATAGCTTGCAACACCTCGTCTTCAGTTTTAAGGCTGTCAAGGATAGAACATGTGACATCATCAAAAGACTAATCTACACCATCTTCTTTAGTATCATGAGAGAAAACGGTATGCATATCTTGGAATATGTTTTTAAAATGCGAAAACCAGTCACTAATGGGGATAGACGATTCCCTTTCTTCAACACCAGTGTACACTCTTAACATTTCCCAAAATGTTTTGCAGTTATTGATATTGGATGAAAGTCTGTCACGAATCAAATCATTTAAAGCTCTTTTCTTACACCTTATGATATCCTTATATGTTTTACGCTGCAGTGAATAGGTTTGTAACGAAACGTTATCCTTTATCCTATTAAAAACATCTAGTAGTCGGAAGACTTCTCTTTTGTGATAATCACATTCTTTATCAAACCACGGCCTGTCGCGTCCATGACGCTGAACAATCATACGCTTTGTAAAATCTGCTGCCTTCGACAAAGCGTCCGTAAATGTATAAATTGCTGCATTTATGTCTGTTAATGCTAACGTAATACAATCATCAAACAAATGCCTAATTTCATCACATGAGACATTTTCTCTTAACCGATCACCAAAGTTATCACGCCAAGTGTACTTAATACAAACTTCCGGCTTCACATTCTCACCCGACATAGTATTGTCAATTTCAGTATCACGTGACTGAAAGGTACAATCGATTGGCGCGTGCGGAGACTCGATCCGAGATCCGATGTTAACATTCTTACACAATGTAAACAAGTCACTTGTTGTGATAACATAGTCAATAACGCTTGCGACTGTAGGTGACACAAACGTAAAATCTCCCACACTGGCTTCAGATCCACAACGACCATTAAGTACAGACTAGTTTAGAGAAGCACAAGCAAAGCAAAGTTCGCCCAAATTTG